GCCTTCAAAATCAATTCAATTAAAATTTTTTGGGCATTATTAGAGCAGTTTTCTGACGAAGGTCAGGTGCATCATATTTTTTTCCTTCCCCCGTAAAGTAAAATTACACTGAATTCCCAGTTATCCATTCGATTTAACGTACGAGTATATATGGATAATTTGAGAATGGCTCTGAAAAATTTATAATAATGTATGCTACCATAAAAGTTAATTACAAAAGTTTTAAATGTTCGGCCTTGTCCTGTTTATAATAGGGTTTAACTAAAACATTAATGTAATTATTGTAGAAATTTTAGTCTTTTCTTTCTGTTATATTCTTTTTTAGAGCTATGTTGACATATTTCAGATGATATGAAAACTATGACATCATTGAATTTGAACTCAGTTTATTCACCTGTATAATATAAGAATTTGTCTATACATTCCAGTATTCAGCCATGGACATCCATTTTTATTTCATTTCTATGTACATTATTCTTTTTGTTCCCTTTTGATGGCTTCTTTCTCTACATCAAGAATACTTTGGTGCATTGTTTTGTATATTTCAAAACTCTTGAGTATCAGAAATTCTGTAAGGTCTGATTATGTTAAGTCTTCGTCGACAGAGCCTTTCTGAATAACGATATAAGGGAGTCAGTATCTTCTAGTCACAAATTAAAGTTAAACTGATAAGTTCAAACTTAGTTTTAGCATTGTATACAGAATCTTGAATTTCATTCAAAAGGTCACAGTTTCTTTTTCAAATGGTAACCTGGATTTGTTTGTAAGACACGATTAATCTATAATCGGGAGTTCAGTGCAACTCAAAACTCAAATTAATTGTATTTTTGGTGTGGAAACTCATAATTTTTCTTAAGCATTCATCAAAATCTACATAGACACTTTTGCATACTATTCTAATTAAGGAACCTATGCTTTTTTGTCTTTTCCTTATTTCAAATTCATGTCCTCTCCTGAAAAAGACGAAAAAGTGCGACTAATGTTCTTTTTTGCTATTCAGAAAAATTTTGGAAGAACATGATTACCTGAGAATGGCAAAAGACAGTTATGAAATTGTACTAATATCTGTTTTTATTCTCACTTATAATGTCCCATTTCACAGTTTTGAACTCTTTTCATTAACAATGAAAAACGTACAAAATTCTGTGTCCTTGATGTTTAAACTCACAAATAAACATCTTTGTAAAACTGAGACTTAATTCTAGAAAAAGAATTTGAAAATATATAGTTTGGACAGTGTTTAATTATAATACATGTATGTCCGAAATGCTGGGTTGGGAAAAAAATTCCCGGATTTCAAAGTATTGAAGTCAGTATTCTTATTGACCGAAGAATTTTTTCTTTAAAACGTCCACAGTGCTTTACCATAAATAAAAAGAAAATAAAGTTCATATATCTTGAAATACAAAAAACTAGAGAAATATTCAATATAGAGGTTAAAATGACAAGGAAATTCTTTAAATTATCGTAAATCTCTATTTCTCTATTTCTATTATCTATCGCATTTCCGGTTAGCTATAAAAGACACAGTATTATTACTTACTTAAAATACTGTACTACAAGAAATAGAGTATTTTTTAATTATAAAATTAAAACAGAAGGTACGATATAATTTACATAAAAGTTGATAATGTACTGTAAGAAATTAGTCATTATAATTAAAATAAAAAAGAAAACCCATTTAACTATACATACAAAATTTTTGTAAAATATAAGTTTCAAGATTTGTTCTTCTTTTGAATTTTAATATTTCTTTCATAATTCTGTGCTATTGTCCTTTCTAAATGTCAAAGGTATTTAATTGTCTGTCTTTATGCATACTAAAAAGAGACGAAATTGTTCCTAGAAGTTCAATATAACCATAAAATATTCGGAATGATAAATAACTTTCCAATTGATTATTATTGAAATATTATGGTGATTAGTAAAGTATTTGACATATATGGATATTAGAGATATTTATATTATTCAATATCGCCCTTATAATAATTTAATTTCATAATTTTTATTTCATGAATTACGTATTTCACACGACTTCATACGAAGAGTTAAGGCTTTTAATAAAAATATGAATAAATAAATTTTTGATTAAGGTGTTATTTATTTAAAGTAGGAATTATGTCGCTTCACGTGCCAGTTGTGCCAAATTTTAATAACAAGGTCTTTTTTTTTCCCATCAGGCCTCAATAAACAGCGCTTGTTTTATTCCTAGCATGTCCTTCGTAGTGAAAAATGACTTGCTTTTGTATAATGTAAACCAGTTCCTGACGCAACGGATGTTATATAACTACTGGCACCATTTCCCTTTTCTGCTTTACCAAGATTCATCACTGAATACTTTCAATTCCAAAGCACAAAATTCTTAAACTTTAATGATACGACGTTCATTTTAGGAGTTGAGATTTTACGAGCTTAATGAAAGGTTTTATCGTTAGAAAATTATTTGCATGTCCGGTTACTTAAAAGCATGCGTCGTTTCTGATTTCAGATACATAGTAATTTTTACAACGGTAGGAAATAGTAGTTAGCATTTCATTTCTGACTTCAATAATTTTTAGCTAAAACTCCTGTTCATCTTAATTCACAAATCAATGCTTTTGCCCTTTACTCAGGAAATGTATTTTGGAGTAAATGAGAAAATTTTTCAATGAGGAGCAATTTCTTTTCATTTCTATTTGCTCGAAATTAAATGAGAATGTTTTTATTTATATTTACTCGAAATTAAACGAGAATCAGAACTAATTTTATAATCATCACACTTCTAAAAACTAAATATATTTATTAAAAGGATATCGTTGAAGAAGTAATCATAACTGGATAATCCAAACACGTATATCCGAAAATCACTCGTTTAAGAAGATTTTTTTTTTCCGCGAAGAAAGTGAAATGATTAAAATGATCCCTAAATGGGATAAAAGTGTTCATACAGTACTGACAAATTTAATGTCAGTTCGGTTTTCAATCAGCTTTGTATCAATTGAATTGACTTCAGTTGCCCTTGTAAGTCTGCTACTTTAAAATAGATCTTTTAGTGCTATTGCCAGCCTTCTTTCCCCATTTGCGATTGTAACTCTAGTTGCCGTCATCACACAGCATTTATTTTGTCCACTTCATTTGAGACTGCACTTCCAGTCAGCCTTCATTCGCGTGCTTTTCACATAGTGAATCACGTTAAACGGATATGAAGTGGGGAAAAATTAAGCGAGTCGCCTTTTTCTCCGCAGTTGCTGTTTCTATGGTCATGATTCAAATCGGGCGGCGGAAAATAACCTTGAAATGCCTGTCTTAATATAATAGACTATAATGATTCATGGAACTATCATACTGTTACTTGAAGTAAATATTAAGGGGTGTTAAATGACTGAATATTAGAAACGAAGGGGCATTTTATATTTAGGATATTTTCATGTACCCAATTTTCCTACCTTCTGTTCCTGCAAAAATTATAGAACAATCATTAAAATTTTCAAATCAGAAAATTAAAAACAAAATAATGTCTATTTTAACGTTTAAATAATTTAATAATATTTTATGGGATATTTATGCTCATTGCATTTCTTCCTATGTGAGGTAATCAAGAGCGACTGATTGGAAAAAAAGAAAACTTGGATAAATATAGCCATCATTGTTCCAAATAAAAATTAAAACTAGATAGAACTGATTTCGAATTATATTCAAATTTAGCAATACAATGTGGAAAACTAATGCTCGTGTATTTACTCGAGCAAAAATATAAAAATGATTGTGTTTTAAAAAAATGCTTTGCTAAAAAAATATTTTCAGGTTTTGTTAAACTTTTTTAAACATCAGTTTATCACAAGAACTATCAACTATCAGAAGCCAATGCCAGACTAATTTTAGCACTTTTTACCTCCCCTTTTTTACGAGTTTATTCTCCTATTATTGTTTTTAATAAGAAAGTTCAGCATTTTAAGTTGTATTTAATCAACACAATTAATTTCTAGTACTATGTTGTCTAAGCATTTTGAACTATATTCTTATTTATATAGTTTGAAGGTTCATATTAAATAAGCAGTAATTCTTAAACAAAATTGATCTTGTATACTATATTATGAACCACAAAACCTATATTTCCTTTTGACAACTGCCTGGAATTCCTTAATCAAATTTACATTGATACTTACATTACTAATGAAAAAAAGCAACTTTTCGGTATGATGTTAAATTGAAGAAAGTACTATGTTAGTATTTTTCCCCATTTTTTAACTTGTACTGATGAAATAAAATCATAAGGTATCTTTTTTATTTTTAAAATTTCATAATTTTACGAACATTAAAGTGTATTCATAAAATATGCATACTAATTTTTTAAAGCTTTAAGAAATATTTATATATCCTTTTTTAAGAAATTGGTAAAAAAATGAAATGACAGTTAAAATTTCTTTTCTTAATAAATTTAAAATGAAATAAAAATAAAAATAAACATCCTAAAACATCACAGAAATAATTTTGTTTTTAAATATTATTTAAAAATTCCTTCATAATTTTTATTTTATTTAACAGCCCTTTACTATTTGATATATCCTTTAAGTATTTTAATTATAATAGTGACTTAAATTTGTTCTTTTAGATTTTAGAAGCAATGCAGATGAGCTCCCAACATAGTTGCTTTTATTCTGGACTTACTTTAAGTACTGACCGTTCATCTGTGTTGCTTTTAGTATTATTGTTCCTACTGGTGCAAGAAAAGGATTGCAATAACACATAACTGCAATAGTTGCAATAGATGCTGCGAGTACAAAATTTACAAGAAGAGTTGTCTTCGTTGCACATTTCCCTTTCAGTATAAAAAGGAATTCGATTTTTAACTTTTTCATTAAAAATGTGTCTTAAGTTAGGTTTGTTTCCTTCCAAGCTAACGGATTAAATAAAAAAATGTGCTACATTTACAGGTTTTAATTCACTATTACTAAATTTAAAATTACAGAATTTTAAGTTTTATAATAAGCAAATGAAGCATGTGTTTAATTTTGACTTACCTTGAGCTGATTCATTGAGAAACTGATAGCCAGGATGTTCCCACTTGTGTATGGGCCCTGTGTATCCAGGAACATATACTCCAGAAGTTTCCAAATCTGAGCAAGTGTTGCTGTTTTCTCTTGTTTGTGAGCTGTGGAGTCCTAGAAGGGAATTGTTTGAGAATCCATTTTCATCAGGCGAACTAGAATTGCGAGGTTTTCTTGAATAGGCTTTTGCTTCAAGAGTAGAATTATTTCTTGATAACATTTTATATCGAGTAGATAGATATTTTGAGAGATTATTTCTTAGCAATTAAAAAAACCAATAATTGTAGCTAATTTCGATTCCGAATTTTGAAACTAAAATATTACTTAATCTGTAATCACGGAGCTGCTGTCAAATGAAAAATCTTGTTTATTCTACGTGATGTGCAAACAGTCTCATTACCCTGAGAACAGCTTTAGAGCGTTATCTTTTCTCAGATTAGCTGAAGAAATAAAGTATAATCTTGCTTTCCTTTCGGTTCGTTTTTAAGTTTTCTTAGATGAAGATACGTAAGACAGTTGATAAAATTGTCTTTTTAAATTAACACCTACATATAAACATTCTATTTTTAATTTTCAAGCTTTTAAAAATGGTCAGCTATTTTCACTGTTCTTTTCCAAGCTTAAATTCTCTAAAGGAAACGTTTTATTAAGAATTTTTTTTTTCTATTGAGAAGTTAACATGGAAATATAAAAACTTTTTTTAAATCTGAAATACTTCACCGCTAATGGAAACATCATCTTATAAAGTCCAAGAAACATTGCATGCACACTGCTTGCTATATGCAATATAATGTAATTTAAAGCTTCATTACTATAAGTTGTAATTTCTTGTAAATTTTAACAAATTGAACATGCTTTTTATATCTCACCCCTTAGAAATCGCAAACAAACGTTGAGGAATTGCAAATTTACAGATCACATCAAGCTGTCAGAAGTGTTATCCCTCGAATGGCTGTTTTCACTCTTGTCTTATATCACAGATGCGGGTCACAAGATGCAACGAATCACGTGGGTTCAGCAGAAGATTTGAGAGGCTGATCATATAACCAGTTGACCTTCCTTCATCTTGTTCAAAGAGTAGCAGAAAGCAGAAATGCAACCAAGGCTATTCAAAACGTGTTCTACATTTGTAACATTATAGGAAATTCTTCATCGTCTTTATTTATTCATTTATTCAGGTGACGAATTGTCAATGGATAACAAGATTCTTTTAAAGCAAATGATTAGAAAGCCGTACAATATTTCTTTCGGAGGGAAAAAAGACTCTGATGTTTCAAAAACTATAATTCTCACCTTGATACCTGTCTTAAAAAATAAAAAATAGTACTTTAATAAAAAAAAAGAACTTTAAAGTAAATGTCTACGTATTGTTAAAGTTTAGGTATACAATTTCTGCTTGAAATAAGCAGGTTTGAATTACGTGGTTTTGTTTATATAAGGGTTTTTGAAAAGGATAGAAGACTTCCTGCAATTTGAAAAATAAATTTCAGACCAGATATGAAGCATAAAATAATTATAGTAAAACCTCAGTTATTCAAGGTAGCTGGAACCGTAATCATCTCGGATAATTGAAGACTCGGTTAATACAGACTAAATTTTGAATCTCGCCCATTTTTCTTACAAGGTTTATTGAAACAGTTTATTTAAAATTTCAAAAAAGGGCTCAAGGGTAACTGTTAATACTTTGACAAACCGTATTTTAAACAAATATGTAAATTTTTTTAAGTAATAAATTATCCGCACAAGATTTTATTTCACGAAAAAATATTTCATGGTGGAAAAACGAATAAATTCCATCAAAATTAACGCAATTGTGAAATTTTGCAAAATTTCCTTGATACAATTTTATAAAAATTTTTTTTATTGAAAAAGTAAGTTAATCTTTTTTTTACTAGTCCTATAACTCTATCAGCTACCGTACGATTATGCCAAGTTTTTAGCAACAAGAGATTCGGAGAAGATGCACCAGGACGTCACTTTAGATCAAGGATTCCCAGCCTTTTTCTTACATTAACATCCTTTAAAACAATAGTTTTCTTGATGGACCTCCTATAGTTTCTGTAATATACAACATACAACATATTCATAATACAAATAATTTCCCATAAATAACTTAAAGATAATAATTAGAATAAAAATATGAACAAAAGTGTTGAAAAAATGGTTTATTAAATTTATGTTTTATTATTTTTCGTATTACCATTATTTTTAATTTTACAAATGTAAACAAACTTTCAGAATCAAAATTACAGATTCTACTTTATCCAAAAGTTCGATGTAATGACTTACTGCGCTTGATGTATTGTTGCACTTGTTTTTCATATTTGCATAAAATCTCTTAAATTATTTCTAAAATTGACCTAGGTAAAAAATGTTCAACCTGTTTCTCGAATTTTTATGTAGTAAATTATTGGTTTGATTAAAATCCGTTTCCACTAAGTGACAAGATTGAAAAGTTTATGAGGTTAATTCGATAACAACTTTTATTCCTCTCGGATGACTTTTAAATTCCGGAACTTAGCGTACCCATATGTTTTGAATAAGAAATCTTTTTGAACATCTTTCATCAATGTAATCAACTCCTCTTGCATCATAATTTTAGTATATTTTCCCCTTATATTATGAGATTTTATATGATTTTTTTAACTATGCGATATAGATTTATATCAATAAGCAATTACCTATCAATTACCTAATAATTTTTTTTAATCATTGGGATCATGATAATGCCTATCCTTTGCCAGTGCATATTTAGCTATTGACCCCCATCGACTCCTTGATCAGTGTCCCCTTTAAAATTTCATCAACTTCCAGGGAATCAATACCGACCAGGTTTCAGCACCTTTTAGTGGTCGAGTGGTAAAACCGCTGAACACTGGTAGTTCGACCGGTGTTCGAACGGGCTAATTGCATGGGAATTTGGTGGTATTTAACATGTGTAAAGTATATGTGAGCCAATTTTCCTTAAAATGTACTTCACGAAGGCAGCTCTTCCTTTAAGCAGAGACCCCTCGCATGCTTTGACATAATTAAAGTAAACCTAAACCAAGCCTTCATCACGGCTAATTTTCACATTTTTCATTTCTTCGTTATCCTTAGCCATCACTACAATTTTTATCGTTCTCCAATCTATGCTACGATGAATTTTTCATCATGCAAAGCTTTAAACTTTGTTCACTATTTCCTCATTTATCCATTCCGAAGAGTCATCTCTACCTTTAGAAAAATGTACTTGAATTTTAGCTTTGCTTTAATTTTTATCACATGTAAACATTTTTTTACCATGATGCAAAATAAGAAGCCGTTAAATGACTCATTGATGATGAGAAGGCCAAAAACTCAATCGCTGATTAATGAGAACGTTACTGATTTTCTCTTTACTCTTTCTAATGTTGCTATATTTTTCCAATTATTTCTTTAAATTGATTGTCGGCGAAGTTAAGTGAGACCTCTGATGATGCAGGCTTGACTAATATGAATTTTGCTGTAATACTACTACTAATAATAAAAACTCGAAAAGGTTAGGCACATTCTCAGGCAGGCATAATTCCGAAAATATTAGTAACATTTTTGGGTAAATAAAAGTATAACCCGTTTTTAACCCTCATAATATGCATATATTTTTGCGGAAATGTTGCTTTGATTAAGAGTGCTTAAAATTTATACAATCAAGGGGTGTTGGAACCCAAAAATCTTCAAAAAATTGTATTTTTTATTTTTGCATTTTCAAATTCTCTACACTTTTATCTCTCTAAAAATAGCATTCTTTAATCTCTATGAAAATTAGAACTGTAAAAAATCTAGCTTTAATTTGTCATCGACTGCTTTGATCAATGAGAATACTTAAATAAAAATGCGTTTTTCTCCAAATGTGATTTTTTTCATACTCGATGTACCTTTTCTCAGGAACTACTGCTCACAGGTATCTAAAATTTTTATGGCCTATTTATTGGGTTTCCTAATATTTACTGAAATGAGCTTTTTGTGATAAACTAAGAAAAAAAAATTAAAAATTTTGTGTGTGAGAAAAGTGCTAAATTTTACTATGCCTAACAAAATATTCTGTAAATTACTCTAAAATTTATAATGTTTCAAAAGCTCATTTCAGTATAATCAGATAGGTATACTACTTTAATTACACAAAAAAATCCAAGCGTGTTACTACAGCAAATTTTGAGAAAAGGTACATCGAAAATGGTCAATTTAACATTGTCGGTATAGGGGTTGCTGATACCCCTTAAACACAAATCCATTTTGCAAGTTCAAAATTTGTAAATATGTAAGTATAGTTGCAAACTTCACTTCGCTTCACTGTCAATGGAAATAAACTTAACGACAATTCATATTTGCAGGAAATAAATAGCATTATGTATACTGCGCTAGTGTAATAATTACTAATTTTTATTATAGCGAACTCGGGTGTCATTAGTATTTGCTCAGAACGACGTACTCGCCCGAATGATTCGCATTGCAGTACCTTTAGCACTGTTAAATAGCTTGAACTTCCACTTGAACTTCCAATGAAGTTCCTTTCTGTTATTTATCAGAAGTCAAACAACAAAAATCGTTAATTTACAATTTGTCTAGTTTATAGAACCTCATCTTCACTGCAATTTGCCTTAAACAATGAAAGTAAAACCATCCTTTCTGTGAAAATTTGTAAATTAATTTTGTTGTTTGTGACATTAGTTACACTGACATTACCACCAAGAAGCGAAGTAACTATGCCATGAAGAAAAAATTAAATTTCTAGAATAGTTCTGGAAAGCTTTTAACGCTTTCCAGAATGTTACTATGATTATGAATGCAATAAATACTGCTTGTCATAAAATATTACGAGGATTTCAATAAATCATCATTTTACAATCTAGGTTACTGCAAAGTAATTTTATCATTATATTTATTTCGTTATTTATGACTAATCAATGCAATAATCAATCAATGTAAATATAAACTTAGCTTCCCTTTTTTGTATAAATACAGCAGATAGTACATACAATTTATAAAATAAGCATTAATTTACTGCTTATGCTATGGCTAAATCTTCTAAGGAACAGTAAGCAGTTAATTTAAGTTTTTGTACAGGATCGAGGATTGGTTTGATCATCCATTTCAGATTAACGAGTTTACCGTAAAATGGTTTTCAAATCACGCCTCGTTTGAGTACTGTGATCTGTTACTTCTTTTTTAAGGTACTTAAGTTATATTAAGTCAGGCATATATTGCTACATTTAAGGTTAATATACAGAGGTTTGATCCCAAATATTCATAAAATAGCTGAATAACCTAGAAGAAATACTAAAAATGGCATTTTTGAATATGTTTATATCTTCTGTCTTCATTTAGTTGTTATTTAAGGATCCGAATTTTTTTTCCAAATTTGAGTCTCTATTGTAGTGAATGCGGAACTGTCCGGTTGTGCTCTTAAGATCCAAATAAATAACCATTTTAATTTGCTTATCTCTTAAAATTCCTCCCCATAAAAATAAATGAAATAAATTAGCATTTTACTTTTGAATGAATAAATTTTTACTTTTTATTGAAATGAATAAACTTGTGTTTTTTTAATTTTTAGACATTATCCAGGATTTAGAAAAAGTATTTTCTGTCGAAAAAATGCTAGTTAACTTAAAAAAAAAGGAGTTTTGTCTATACATTTTCATGCTGTTTTTTGTCAAATAGCCAAAAGTACATAATGTTGTCTCATTTTCTCCTTTTCCATTAAATTCATTTGCCTGTTATTTTTGAAAAAGAATTCACAGCGTGCTGCCTATTTTCTTGAAAAACTTATTTTCGGCGGCTGTTTAGTGTTTTTTACCTGCAGCGAGTGTTCGAACTTTTCTCAAGGACAGATCCAGAAACCATAGTGGGGATAAGGGCCTTTTTGCACTGGAGGGTCGCATCTTATTTAATTATGCCAGCAAAAGGCAGCATTCGAGAATTCTGTTAAAA